TTGCTGAGAAAGTTGGTGGTTCAAATCCAAGGAGCAGGGTGAGATCCCGCCATTAGCTCCAGTTTCTGCCAACCTAGCAGTTCAAAAGCATGCAAATGTGATTAGATCAATAGGTACAGCTCCGGCAGGAAGGTAACGGTGCTCCATGCAGTCATGCTGACTACCTGACCTTGGAGGTGTCTACGGACAATGCCGGCTCTTTGGCTTAGAAATGGAGATGAGCACCAACCCCCAGAGTGGGACACAACTAGACTTAATATCAAGGGGAAACCTTTCCTTTGCCTTTTAAATTCCCATCCAGAAAGGTTAACTGCTTAGGACCACAATATGTAGAGAACTGACTGCTTCCATTTGAACCTGTTTGTTTTCATACTGCTTACCTTGTATTAATGATGTTTGATTTCACTAATATACTGCTGTGTTTTAAGTATTGTTATATTGGTAAAGTGTCATAAAGACATCTCTTAATTAAGGGTTGGTATATCTCTACATATTAAAGTGACATCTTCTCAGATAACTCATCTCCTGATTTGTATGTTGTCTTGTATGTTATACAATCAGCATCTGTAGCCACTGCATAAAGGATAAAACAAAAATAGCTTGGCTAATTTCATTCATAGTTGAAACTCATCAGTTAGTAGATCCTGGTTATATAAACCCCCGTTATGTCACTGAAATTACTAGCATCTGTGAAAGGATGAAATAAATGAGGATAGTGTCATTCCATCTCCATATTAGTGCTGTATCTGAAAGGAGTGCTGAATATAATAAACCCAGAAATGATGGCTGAGAATTTTGGGAGCTATACTGCATGTTATACATAGCTATAGTACTTAAGTGTATTTTTAGGTGCCTCTTGCTCCAATATGTCTTTAGTGAGAAGCATCACAAACCAAACCCTTTGGAAATACTATAATGTTGTATTGCCAACTGCTCCAGAGGGGAAAAAAAACATAAAATAAAGTAAAGGTTTCCTCTTGACATTAAGTCTACTCGTTTCCAACTCTGGGGGGTGGTGCTCATCTCCATTTCTAAGCTGAAGAGCCAGCATTGTCTGTAGACACCTCCAAGGTCATGTGGCTGGCATGACTGCATGGAGCACCTTTACATAACATATGTAGCTATGTTATAAGTCTAGCTTTGTTTTAAATATTCTCACTAATTTCCTGTAATGTCTTGACCTTCAGTACATTCTGTCGTCATTATATAAATTGCAACCCATGATGTTCAATGATCTCAAAGAAAGATTGGGGTTACATAGCAGAATGCTTTATCTATAGTACTTATCTATTCAGTACAGGGAGATCCACCAGTGCACAATATGTAGATCTGAAACCTTGGGCCAGAACAGTGAATATGCTGTGGAATAAATAAACAGCACTGCTGATTGTATGGGGTCGGGAATAGACAGAAATCATTGTTCTGGCAGAACTCCTCTTATACTGGTATGATCCCTTTCTGCCAGCAGACCTCACAGATTGGCCTGCAAAGGGATTGACCAGAACTACTGTTTTGCTAGCTGGGATCAATCAGTAGAATATCCCCCCCCCCCAAAAAAAAAGTGAATAAAGAAAAAAATGTGCCAGGACCCAAGGTATTCCAGATCCAAGCCTTCCCAATGCAGAATACAGCTGCTTTGCTGTCCAAAATGAACCCTGTGAATAAATCAGTCCTCCTTAATTTCTGACAATAATAAGTTGAGAGAGTTTGGATCTGGCAGACCTTCAGCTAGCCTAGGATCCACTCAGATAGCCCTCACTCTCTTGGTGAATTAAGATTGCACTGTTAAATTCCACTGAATACAAATGGAGTTTAATAATAATAATAATAATAATAATAATAATAATAATAATAATAATCCAGGCAACAGCAGGATTGACAAGAAGCAACTGGAAAAACTTACACAATATAAGGATTTAAAAATTGAACTGCAAAGACTCTGGCACAAGGTAGTAAATGTGGTCCCAGTGGTGATCGGCACACTGGGTGCAGAGCCTAAAGACCTTGGTCTGCACTTGAAAATGATCGGCACTGACAAAATTACTGTCTGTCAGCTGCAAAAGGCCACCCTACTCAGATCTGCACACATTATTCGCCGATACATCGCAGTCCTAAACACTTGGGAAGTGTCCAACGTGTAATCAAATACAAAAGCCAGCATAGTTATTGTGTTTGCTATGTACGAATCTTGTTATGTATCAAATAATAATAAAATAATAATAATAATAATAATAATACACTTTATTTACATTCTGCTTTCTCTCCCCAGAGGGTCTCAGAGCAGATTACAGTACATATAAGGCAAACATTCAATGAAACGATGATATACATTATACAGATAAAGTAAAGGTCTTTCCCTTTTCCATCTCCGGCGTCTGGAGGCGATGCTCAACTTCTGGCCATGGGGAGGTGCTCTTGTTCCATTTTCCATGCCGAAGGAGCCTGCTCTCCGTAGACATCTTCGATCCTTTTGCTGGAATGTCTGCATGGGGCACCTTTTTACCTTCCTGCCAAGGCGGTACCTATTGATCGACTCACATTGCATGCTTTCGAACTGCTAGGTAGACAGAAGCTAGGACTGACGGGAGATTATCCTGACTCATGGCTTCAAACTGCTGACCCTCTGGTCAGCAGCCTTTCCTGCAGATGGTGGTTTTTAACCAATGTGCTAAAAGGGCCCCACTTTCCTTTGTAGACAAGTATAGGATTGTCTTACATATCAAACCTTCCCTGCTAATAAGCCCTTTCTTCCTTGCTGTAATGTGTGTGTGAGAGAGAGCTAAGGGAAACAAAGTGATGATGAAAGAGAGCTTTTTGAGATAACACATTCTCAAAATTTAAAGTTGGTATGGTGCCTTCATTGTGAGCTTCCAGGAGCAGATATGTGTGTAGATCTGATAAAGAGCAGAATGGTTTTTCAGGAACGTATGAAATGTTCCAAGGCAGGAATGACACAAACTGACAAAAGCCAGACAATTCATAGCCGTCAGAGAGTGTTATTGATCTCCCTTTGTAGTCTCTCACTGTCTGATCTTTTAATGAAGAGACATACATGAGTCTGAAAATTGCCTGTGAACTTCTGAACTCGGTGCACTGCATAAATACATTCAAACATTTTCATATCTTCAAAAATTAAAAAATAAGAAATATATCCATATATCCATATTCATACACACAGACAAACACACCTTAGATAGAAACTATTTTTTACAGTAGTTTGGCTTTTTTGAGTCGAAATGATCCTTTTTAAGCTGCTTTAATGTTACAAAGATTAATATTACATTAATAAAGAGGGCACTAGAGAGCCCCATGATGTGCTATAATGAGTTGAGCTTGGACATGTTTCTTTTCGGACTACAATTCTGGAATCCCAAGCCAGCAGTGATTATGCAGATTAGGGATCCTGGGAGTTGTCTATCAGGAATGAAGACGGGAAGTATAACATATCACAACTGGTTTAGGAACCGATGATGGCTTGGCATGAAATGTTTAAAGGGATGGAGTTCAGTGATAAGACATCAGTCTAAAAGTCTTTGTGAGTCCTTATGGTAGAAGACCATCTAGTCAGTGATGAAAACAACACATTTACTGGTATTAAAGATAAAGGTTTTCCCCTGACATTAAGTCCAGTTGTGTCCGACTCTGGGACTCTGGTGCTCATCTCCATTTCTAAGCCAAAGAGCCAGCATTTTCCAAGGTCATGTCGTCGGCATGACCTCATGGAATGCCGTTACCTTCCCGCAGAAGCTTTTCTTCCCCACAGGGGCTAACAGCGGGAGCTCACGCCACTCCCTGGTATTATGCCCATGTAGTTTTGTTATGTGTGATGAGAACTTTTTCAAGAACCATGTATTTCATGTTTGCTTATTTTTTTATTTTGACTTCACTTATACTCGTATAGTTCTTTTCTCCCCCAGGGGGACACAAAGCGGTGTCCAACAAGTTCACGGCAAACATTCAATGCCTTACAACATATAAAAAACCTAGTATAAAAAGAACTGTAACACATCACTATAAATTAAACTGAACTGTATTAAATAGAGAAACAACAACATCTAGGCATTTAAACATGACATTAAAATATATTCAAAAACATTAAAATCACATAATCCAGAAGCCGAAGTCCGAGGTGTTTCCAAAAGTCACTTGTACATAATCTTGTATTTTTTTTTCATTGCTTATTGCCCAAAGGCTCGATCCCACATTCATATCTTTACTTTCTTTCTGAAGACCAAAAGGGAAATCATGGTTCTAATTTTGGTAGGGAGGGAGTTCCACAGGTGAGGGGCCACCACTGAGAAGGCCCTGTCTCTCGTCCCCACCAGTTGCACTTGCGAAGGATGTAGGACCAAGGGCAGGGCCTCCATGGATGATCTTAACCTTTGTGATGGTTCATAGAGACATACATTCGGACAGGTAAGCTGGGCCGGAACCATTTAGGGCTTTATAGGATAAACCTAGCACTTTGAATTGTGCTCAGTAGCAGACTGGCAGTAAGTGGAGCTGGCATAACAGAGGAGTTGTATGCTCCCTGTATCCCACTCCAGTGAGTAATCTGGCTGCTACCCATTGGACCAGTTGGAACTTTTGAAGAGTCTTCAAAGGCAACCCCATGTAAAGCATTTTGCAGTAGTCTATTCGAGGTGTAACAAGAACATGGGCTACCATTCTAGGCCACCGCTCGTTCATTGTGGGTCAGCTGTTCTCTAGTACTTGGCAACTTAAATTGAGTAATGCAGAATATATCATTTACTGCATTTATTAAATTACAATAAATACATTAGTTGAAACAAAACAGTATTTTCTAGCAGTAAATTAAGCTGGACAGCTCACCAATTGGGAAAATGTGCACACATATATTCAGGCACTGTGATATTATTAGCATGAGCTAAAATAGAATATTGGGAGATATTATTTCTTTAAATGGAATTACTAGACTAATGCTCTGCTTCTCTGTTCCTCCCCTTCGTTTTCTAAACTGAGTTGTTTTTATTTTGTAGGGTTCTTTTATCTTGGCTTTTGAAACTCCATGGATCAAGGTTGATGTATCCAGTGGCTCTGTGGGGAGGAGACATTACGAAGCTCTTGATCCATTCAGAAGTACATTGAAAGCAGATGAACATGTTCAACAGCCACCTCCTTTTGTATTACTGGACTACCATTCACCTTTTTGTCTTACTAGCAGTTTTAACAACTGCTGAAGAAGTCAATAATAGCACCTTAAACCGCACTGATATGCTTATAGGATCTGTGCCTGTAGTCACCTCCAGAATTGATCACGTTATAGTCAAAGAAGGCTTCAGTGCCTTGATCAACTGCAACATTCAAGGTCAGCCAGGACCAGAGTACAAGTGGTACAACTCCAATGGCCGTTTAGTAAAGGACGATGGAGACAGAGGTATTGTTCTTTCCTATTTTTGCATCCAGTATATGTAAATTATGTATATGTCTCAAGCCCCCTTTATTTTGTGCATTATTTTTGTGAATCATTCAATGCCTACCAGCCTTCCAAGGTCAAGCAACATATCATTGCTTCTGCTTCTGTCAAGCAACAGACAGATAGAACTGCTGTTTTCCTGTCTAGTTTGTGTGCTTCCTAGAAGTAGCTGGTAGGCAAACAGCATGTTATTTTATGTAATTCCTTTCTACCCTGCTAACTGTGCCTTCAGACAGAAAATGGGTAAATACTTTCTTGCCTTAGAAAGGAAGGAACAAACTGAACTGCTGAAAATGGAATTTCAGAAGCTGCGTGGGAAGCACACAGTACAGCCTTTTATACTCTGAGTGGTTCTGCTAAGATTTGAATAATACCAATGCCTTTCTCAGAGTCCTAGTGTTCAAAAGACCTGTAATTTGCAGCACCGATGCACAAGCGCAGCACCTCTTGTATGAGTTGCTAGGCAAGGTGAGAAAAGGCATGGAAAGGTGTTATTTATTTATTTATTTATTTATTATTTACAATATTACTACTCCATCCTTCTCACTCAGGGTAGATTACAATGCACATATACAGGGCAAACATTCAATGCCAATAGACATACAACATATATAGACAGACACAGAGGCAATTTAACCTTCCAGCTTTCTGGCTTCATGAGGGTATGCTCTATTCTGGCCACAGGAGGAGCTGCCGCTTCACTGTCCACTTGTGACACTGATTCCTTGATGGAGTACTTTCTCATTCTTACACACGCTGCTGGAAGGTTTTATGGTGTCGTAAATTAGTTAAATTAGCCTCCCCGCATAAAGTGGTACCTAAATTTCCTATTTGACAGATGCAACAGTCTTTCGAGTCAAAAGCAAGCTAGGCTATTAATGGTCGGGAGCTCACTCCGACCCAGGCTGGCTTCGAAGTCATGACCTCTCGGTCAGTGGTGATTTAATGCAGCTGGCTACTAATCCAGCAACATTATGATAATATTATGAATGATGTATTAGTACTATGCTAATAAAACAGTATGTTATATTTACATATGACTTGTAAGCCGTTCTGAGTCCCCTTCGGGGTGAGAAGGGCGGCATATAAATGTCGTAAAAAAATAAATAGCTGGGCCACAGCCTGGCCCCAACAGTGTTAATGACTTAACACTGTGAGCACCTACTAACCAGAGCACAGCAAGAGTAAGACTGCCCCATTTGCTCATGCATTTTTTTTTCTACATGTACTTCTCTTATGGTGGAATTTCTGGCATTAAGGATTTGAGAGAGTCTTGGCAAAGAGAGGGCATGTTTTGCATACAGCACAGAAGCAACACATTACAAGTAGTACAACAACTTAGAAATAATTAACTTCTCTTTGATAGAGCAAACACAGTGGTGTTTCATTTCAGAAGTAACATAACAAGCAAGATGGCCGTACTAACTTTTAAGGTATTTTTAGAGTTACTTTGATTTTTTAATTTTAAAATGCAGGTTTTATTGCCATTCTCTGATCAATCACAATGTTTCTTTTAAATAATAAAAAATAATGAATGACTTATAGGCTAATGCAACAAGGTATTTTTTTCAATGTTCTTAACCAATAATAATAAACTACTTTTCAAACACTAGAAAGGACATACATTACTTTCAAAAGGTAACTTTTCAACCTTGCAATTCCTGCAGACAGGGCTAGGAAAGTCTACCACTGGAAACCCCAGATAGCTGTTGGCATCAGTTCTGGAGTTGCGGTGGCGCAATGGGTTAAACCCATGTACCGCCTGAACTGCTGACCTGAAGGTCGGCAATTCGAATCCACCAGACAGGGTGAGCTCCTGTCTGTCAGCTCCAGCTTCCCATGCAGGGACATGAGAAAAGCCTCCACAGGATGGTAAAACATCAGTGTGCCCCCTGGGCAACGTCTCTGCAGATGGCCAATTCTCTCACACCAGAAGTGACTTGCAGTTTCTCAAGTCACTTCTGGCATGAAAAAAAAGTCCGTACTGAGCTAGATGTACTAACCTGAGTTAGTACATCTAGCTCAGTACCAAAATAAAGTATTATTACTATTATTATTATTATTATCTTTGTATTAATCAGCTTTCTATATTTTGAAAAAATGTATCTGGCCTGTGATGATAAATTGTTGAGTTAGGGCAACATTTATGTGATCTTCCAGTGTTTTGGTAATTAGGAGAAATTATTTAAACATCCCTCCTCCCCCAATTCTGTATTTTTCACCTCATCCTTGAAATAACAAGACTAAAATATTTTGCTAAACAGTGTTAAAAACATATAAACCTATTGATGTTGTGAGCTGAAACCTGTTTGCTAAATTGCAGCTCCAGTGTTTTCCCACATGCCTGTAATTCAGAAAATCAGATTAACATTTAGCTTATTGATATAGCTATTTAAATTTATTTGTAGTAATACAATGTTTTTTAAACTGAAATATTCACTTTCAGTCAGGTGTGCTTAAAATTATCACTAGGTTGTACCACTCAGGACCCTTCCACACAGCCATATAACCCAGAATATCAAGGCAGAAAATCCCACAATATCTGCCTTGAACTGAGCTATCTTGAGTCCACACTGCCATATATCCCAGTTCAAAGCAGATAATACAGGATTTTGTTCAGCTATGTGGAAGGGGCCTTAGTCAGGCAGAATGAATTTGTGAGATATTTTCCCTTGGAAATAAAAACAACTTTACATCTGGAAGTGGGAAAGGTAATCCATAGTTGTGAAAGTAATTTTCCATGTCAATCTGAACCAACAAATATATTGTACTGATCCTTTCTGCCTTCTTTCCTATAGGGAAATGGATTCTTGATGATGGGCAATTAAATATTACAAGTGTGTCATTTGAGGATCGAGGAAAATATACATGTATTGCTTCTAATATATATGGCCAAGTGAACAACACAGTGACTCTAAGGGTTGTCTTCACCTCTGGAGATATGGGAATCTACTATATGATTGTATGCCTTGTAGCATTTACCATTGTGATGATCTTAAACATTACCAGGCTCTGCATGATGAGCAGCCATCTGAAAAAGACTGAGAAAGCGATCAATGAATTCTTTCGGACGGAAGGGGCAGAAAAACTGCAAAAAGCTTTTGAGATTGCTAAACGCATCCCAATCATCACATCAGCAAAAACCCTTGAGCTTGCCAAAGTCACCCAGTTCAAGACCATGGAGTTTGCTCGCTACATTGAAGAACTTGCCAGGAGTGTTCCACTGCCACCTCTCATCATGAACTGCAGGACTATCATGGAAGAAATCATGGAGGTGGTGGGGTTAGAAGAGCAGGGCCATAATTTCGTCAGGCAGTCGGCAGAAGGACAGGAGACGGAGACCACTGATACTGAAGATATGTACATGATCCGCAATCCTCTAAAACACAGGGGCTCCCTTACGGCTGACTCAGATGCCTCCTCGCTGCACGAACCTCCCCTCAAGATTGCGATAAAGGTGTCTGTTCACCACTTGATGAAAAGGGACTGTGTCGATGACCAGTCACAAGACAGTGTACAGTTAGATATTAAAGAAGAGGAGGAGGAAGAGGAGGAAGTTGACCAAGAGCCAGCCGCACAGTCCTCTAAGCCAGTCTTGGAGCCTTCTGACCCAATCACGGAGCCTTCTAGTGAACTCAGCCCTACTGTGGCCACTCTGGAAAATGACATGGACATGTCTACTCTTTATGAAAGCCATTTATGAGAAGTTCTCTGCAAATCTATGCATACCAAGAAAATATTCAAAATCTTTGGGGGTTATTTTTGGGGTTTTTTTTGCCAATAAGCCTTACCTGAAGATCATCACAGCAAAAGCATGTGTTTGGATTACTTGGCACTTCCTCATGTATATAACTTTTAAATTTAGTCAGCAGGTTTGACAGAATAATTGATATTGCTCTAATATTTAATTGCTCTTTCTTGGTTCAGAAGATCTTTTGGTTTTTTAGCTATACTGTTTACCTCAAATAATTATTTACGTCGGCCCTCCTTGCAGAGGGTAACTAGAAGTCATGTGTCATGCTTAGGATGGGACTTATAAGCTCTGGTTCCAAAAATGCTTGATTTCAGAATTGATCGGTTCTGTGGTTAAAGGATTGCCCTGTTGTGTAAACTGGGAAAAGATGCTGTTTCCCCATTTTGTATTGACGGAGGCTTTCATGGTCGGAATCACTGGGTTGTTGTAGGTTTTTTGGGCTGTATTGCCATGTTCTAGAAGCATTATCTCCTGATGTTTTGCTTGCATCTATGGCAGGCATCCTCAGAGGTCATGAGGTCCTCACAACCTCTGAGAATGCTTGCCATAGATGCAGGCAAAACGTCAGGAGGGAATGCTTCTGGAACATGGCCATACAGCCCAGAAAACCCGCAACAATCCAGTTTTTATTATGTAAGAAGTACATCTCTTTCCTATGCTTAAAAGTTTGCAATCAAACCAGGCACACATGTAACCAGGGAAAGAAATGCACATGCGGGTAGATCTTTTTCTAGTTTCCAGCAGACCTCACAACCTCTGAGGATGCCTGTCATAGATGCAGGCAAAATATCAGGAGAGAATGCCTCTAGAACATGGCCATACAGCCCAAAAAACCTACAACAACCCAGTTCCCCCTTTTTTTAAATTATCTATTCCTTTGTGGGGAGTTTTTATGTAACTCTCCTGTCATGATTGTGAAATATCGTTCCAGAGGGAACACTTCCATAGTCAAAGTAAGGCCTTTGCGAGATACCTGTGTTGAGCAGTCATTGAGGGATAAAATGAGGCCAAATATTTGTATTCAGAGCACTGAGGTGGGGAGAGTGTCTGTTTTGTTTTCCCCCTTGTTTTGTTCACACAGCCTACTTCTGTGAAAAGGCAATTTGTCTCCAGTCTGAAAGCAGCATCTCAATGGTTGCTGCAGTCTGGAGGTCATCTACCTGATCCTCTGCCAGCTCTGATGAGACATGTAATGGAAAATAGGCATTTCTGGTGTAGAGGATAGAATATCCACAGGTGGAACTTATTGCTTTACCACCAACTTGAGCCTGAAAACATTGCTTTTCATTCTAATTATCAAAACTTTTGTGGGGTTTTCCTGACAAGATTTGTTCAAAGGGGATGGCTTGACATTGCCTTTCTTTGAGGCTGAGAAGGTGATTTGCCCAGTAGGTTTCAATGTCCAAGTGAGTATTTGAACCTCGGTCTCCCATAATCCTAGTTCAGTGCTTTGCTTCTGGTTTTGCTTCACACCAGAAGCAACTTCAAGTTTCTCAAGTCACTCCTGACCTGAAAAAAAGTTCAGTGCTCAAACCACTACACCACACTTTAGAAAAGAATGGGTTCCTTGTCTGCTCTTGCATCTGCCACCTCACCCATTTAATGAGATAGGAATTCAACTCTGCTGTTTGTTATTATATGGCCACAAATTAACCATTTATAATTGGGAAGAGGGAATGGATTATTCTCCTATATGTGTTTTATGGAATAGAAGCCATCAAACCACTGTGAAGGCAACAAATGTGGCTTTGTATTGGCATTTATAGGCAGCATGAGGAGGTGGGGTTTTGGACCAGGTGGGAGTGAAATAACTGCTCTGCATAAACAGAAATGAAAAGATCCCAGAAAATGATGTTTGCATTACTCTTAAATGTCCCTTGAAGAAATCTTGGGAAACTTTTTAAACTTCAGCTACTGGAAGCCTCCTTTCAGCTTGACTACTAACAGTTCTAACTGCTGGATTCTTGGGTAATAGTCCAAAACATGTGGGAGGAGGAAGGACGCAGTTCCCCAAGCCCTAGTCATAGAGTTGGAATCAACCTCGTGGGCCATCCAGTCCAACCCCCTGCCAAGAAGCAGGAAAATTGCATTCAAAGCATCCCTGACAGATGGCCATCCAGCCTCTATTTAAAAGCCTCCAAAGAAGGAAACTCTATCACAGTCATTGGATGCCCTTTCCTACTGTTTCCTTACTTTTATTTTTAGAAAGTATTATTGCATTCAGTATTTGCTATGCACTGGTAATGACTCATAGAAACCTCAGAGTACATCCATTTCCTATGCTGAAAGGTTTACAATCAAAACCTGAGGCACATATGTAACCATGTAAAGAAATGCCCATGCAGGTAGATCTTCATGAACCGTTTTATACAACACTGTATAAACTGAAAATCAGGCTCACACAAAAAGGAGTGTTAAAACCAACTGAAAGATTAATAGCTATGACTGGGTGCATGAGCAAACTCTTCATCAAGGCATGAAATGGTATCCTCAGCAAGTGATATAGGTGTGGGGCTAAACTGCAATGAAATGGGCAATGTTCAGGCTGTAACCATTACTAAATCAAATCTAAAAATGCAAAGTACCAATCATTCAAGATGAATAGCAGGCTATTTCACAACAGGAAAAACTCCCAAATGTGCAAACATTGCTTTCTAGACTTGTGTATGTATTTGATTTGGTCAGTTTTCTTCGGCTAATCCGGCTGGTCCGGTTTGTTCAGATAGCCATAATGGCAAGGGCGCACCCTCCATGTTTTTTTGTTTTTGTATTTTTGGCCACAACAGAACAGTGGCTGTCGAAAACAGGCTGCCTTCGGTTACAAGTGGAGTGCAGAAAGGAGGCAACTGCTAGAAGGAAAAGCACGAGGGGGGTGGGGGGAGGCACCATTCCAGCATCTCCAAATCAAGATAGAAAAGATGACTTTTTAAAGGAAGCCCAGGGTAGGATACATCTATGTCAATCACTCTTCCTTCCCTGGGAAGTGGGGAAGCCTCCTTAAAATGCCTTGGAAAGCTGCATGCAAAGAGAGCATCACATGTGCCTGCAGCACCTGTCTCCTCTAGAGTAGAAACAGCTTTAAGCATTAGACCCGGTCTCTTCTACAGACAGAAGAGAAAGGATTGCAGAAAGAGTGGTATCTTAACTCTGATGCTTTTAATCCAGGTCTTAATGAAGGATATAAGGACAAACGATGCCTAAAATGATGGGAAGGGGAGCCTGGGAATCCCCCCCCTCCCCTCAATAATAGACCAGATAACAATTTTTTAGCTTCCCGGACCAAAAATTGATTTTTGTCTTCCCGTATTTGGGAGGCTCCCAAAAATGGATTGGGACACACACCACCCAAGCGAAATTTGGGACACCAAAATGGATCACAGTTTACCCGGATTGCACAAGACTATTGCTTTCCCCACATGTACATTGGTTCTCAGATGTTGGGGCTCAGAGCCAAGGAAGAACTGTGCCTGTTCATGGGGCTTGCTTTTGCCTTTTGAGGAGAAAATAATTGGACAAGCAGATGTGTAGATTAGTTAACATTTTAATTCTCTGAAATCCCAGGTACAAGTGGATTTATTTACAATGTATGCTGAATGTACATCTTGAAACAGCAATTGATTTGTTGAAGAGTCTTACTCATTCTTCACTTATATGACTCAAATTAGTGCCAGATGAGGAAGAAGTGTAATTGTACAGTCCTCCAGAAGTTGTTAAACTGCAACTCTCAGATGTCCACCAGCATAACCAATGTTGAGGAATGCTGGGAATTGCAGTTGAGCAATATCTAGAGAACTAAGGTGGGAAAAGCAGTTCTGTGGGGTGATATTGTGACTTGCCTTTCCTTGTGATTAGCCATCTCTTCTTCAAAGTTGTAGAGAGTTCATGGCTTTGTCATTCTAGGTAATCATTCAAAATGTTTGTACTACAATGTTCTACTTGATGTTTTTAATATTTGGCAGCACATGGAGTACATCTCAAGCAAATGTAATAGATGTGAACAAGTGTTAACTCTTAGAGCCTAAATTTAGAGAGTTGCCCTTAGTTACTAAGCTGTCTCCTGACAAGAGAATATTTACAAGCTGCTAACCAACGTTCATAGACTAGAATTTCTGCAAAGAAGCTGCTTGCACTAAAGCAAATGTCATCATTTGAAACACTCATAGTCATGAATATTGTGCTACACAAAAGTGTAATGTCTGTGTCTTCATTTGAAGAATTACACAAGTGAAGACTATGTAGTTTACAAACTCCAGATTATGCTAAAGTAGCTGAAAAAAACAAACCCTGATGCTTCAGCTTTTGTATAGCCTTGATGGACAACTGTGTCTGAGCTAAAGGGTCTTAGCTGCACCCTTCTAAGTGGCCTATTGGGAAAACTAGCCATTACCTTTCAACCCAAGAGCACACTATGAGTATTGTAGAGGGTTGAAGGGAAAGAAGTAAGCAATTGAGCATGTGGAGAGACTTGCTATCACTCATATGCTCCTCTCTTGAATAGTTTCCCAGTGGAAACAGCATCCTGTTCCCTTTTGAATCATCTCTCTCCCATTTTTTTCATCTTTCAACCCATTTTCTACTTCAGACATACAAAAATAGAAAGAAAGAGGAGGGATACTTCCTTTCCCACTCATTTTCTGGCCTAGAATCAATATCGCAGTATTTTTTTCTGATTTGATTCCCAGTAAAAGGTTCATTCTAAGATGCAATTACAACCCTGACCTATCCAGTCTTGGTTGTTAAAAGGACCAATGTCCTTTCGACCAATTTAAGCCATACCTCATCCTAATAAAATTGTGTTCCATTCATATAAAATAAAGTAACAAGCAAATTGGTTTGTCTGTGGAGAAATAAACAGTAATATACTCTCCCCTACAAACAGTTATACAGACCAGATACAAAAAGTAACTCATTTACAAGTAGATACACTGTGGTGGCATAGTGGGTTATGCCGCTGAGCTGCTGAGCTTGTTGACCGAAAGGTCGCAGGTTCGAATCTGGGGAGCAGGGTGAGCTCCCGCTGTTAGCCCCAGCTTCTGCCAACCTAGCAGTTCGAAAAAATGCAAATGTGAGTAAATCAATACCTACCATTCCGGCGGGAAGGTAATGGCACTCCATGCAGTCATGCTGGCCACATGACCTTGGAGGTGTCTACAGGCAACGCCGGCTCTTCGGTGTAGAAATGGAGAGGAGCACCAACCCCCAGAGTCGGACACGACTGATCTTAATGTCAGGGGACAACCTTTACCTTTTAACAGAAAGTTGCATTACAAAACAAAGTATTTTGAAATGCAAAGAAAAAAAACTACATTCAGAGCTCCACATTAGGAGAGCAGAACACCCGTGAAAGCAGGAAAATAAAAATACTTTTTAAAAACACTGAAAGAACTCCACTCTAGGCATATCTAGGACTTCTGGTAGGATTAATCATTGAATCACACTAGAGGACATAAGATTCCTGAAGAGAACATTTTAATCAAATCTCCAAAAGTCAGACCCACAAATGTGGAGAACTGGTTATGATATAGGATACTGATACGAAAAGTAGTGCTGAAAGTCCCTAAGGTGGAAACCACCAAGGGGAATCCTAACATTTGCATGTGTCTCCTTTTGGAGTCATTGCCCAGATAGAAGAATGAAGAGAAATAAGAGGAAAGGTATTTTCTTCTTTGTGTCTCATTTGTCTGTGCTTCCTTTTTTAATCTCTCCAAACAATTGTCAGTGTGAGGACAACAATTGAAGAAAAAGGATTCAGCTGGGGAATTGGGAGGGGGCATCTGTTGCCAACCTCTATTGTATAATGTGATCACTGTTTCAATAAAGAATTTGCACAGGATTGGATGAAGATGTGTGTTACTCACAGGTGGAATTGTGGTGTCTGTTTTTTTATTGATTCATATGATCCTGAAAAATATGTGAACAAAGTCTTCAAAGCAGGCCAATTTCACCCTCTTCTGGCAGGCTGGTGACTACTAAGCCCTGATGCCAGAGCCTCCAGTTTAAGACCCATGGTGCCTCAGTAGATGCACACCAAAATAAAATGCACAAAGTAACAATCTTCATAAATATGAGATAAACATATGGAGGAATGCATAGTAATGCTGGCCCCCTTGTTATTTGCCTTTGGAATACATGAGGCAAAACAAGGGCATTATGTTCCTAACTATTCATGATATCATAGTAAACATTGAGAAATGACTATGGACACTTTCCCAGAGGGTTCAACCATCATTTTTTTTGGTAGTGTCATGCACCTTCTTACAGAGACGCATATGGTCTCAACAGCCATAAAAATCAATTCTGGAAATACAGTTACATATTCTGCATTGAGGTGGGGGGGGGGGGTTATATTATTATTTAGTACTAATACTCATGCCAGAAGAAACTCAGGTGCGAAAATACATCATACTATCCATGTGAAGCCCAAGTTCCCTGTTATTCTTAGAGAAGGAGCATGAGCAATGACTGGGCCTGGGTTAGGACTAGAAATTATGAACATTGCTTGGCACTGCTATTTTTGTTTGCCTCCTTTAAATCTCTTAAGATCTTGACCGTGAAAAGACAAAACAGAAGAAGACTTCTTTATATATTTTCAGCCGCAATCCATAGTTTTTCCTCAAGAATTCTTTCCCCTCACACTAGTATGGATTTTCTGTGATCTGGGTCATCAGAGAATCAAGCTGGACATTGCCCTCTAAAGCAGTGGTTCTCAACCTGTGGGTTCCCAGGTGTTTTGGCCTACAACTCCCAGAAATCCCAGCCAGTTTACCAGCTGTTAGGATTTCTGGGAGTTAAAGGCCAAAACATCTGGGGACCCACAGGTTGAGAATCACTGCTCAAGGAACATGAAATATTTCTATAGCACTGGAAAACTGCAATGGAAGACACCTGGATCTAGAACACTGCTGTTGTTAAATGTTGTTAAAGCCCACATTAACAAAATACATTAAAACAGAGAAAAATTCCATTAACAATAATCCCAGCTAGAATACCTACTATAAACAAAAACAAGAATTAACAGTTGGTC